CCCAAAACCCCAAAACCCCAAAACCCCAAAACCCCAAAACCCCAAAACCCCGGGACATAAAATAATTTTCAATTCACATATAATGTTTATTCAATAAATTCAAATTTTAGAATACTCATTCATTTATGAAAGCTATTTTAACTTTTTACCTTTACTACCTTTTATGCAGATCCAACTGTCCCGTGTGAAGACTTAGGTCTTTATACTTTCCTATCTGTTAAACTATGCCTTAATTTTATCTTTCCTGGCTACGAATTACTTTCTAAATATTATTTCATCTTAGTCGTATGAGGAAGCTTTTGCATAGAGTAACGAGGTTTAGGATCCTTCTTATCTATTTATTCAATGAAACTATACTCAGTTTCCTCTTCTACTACTTCTAGTGGAGACATCTTCATAGATCTTCTAGAATTACTTGTGAAATACTTCGGTGGTACTAAGCAATTAGGGTCGTCATTATTTGAATTTTCCAAATCCTTAGAAGTCTTATCTTCAAATCTTACCTCATCTTCTGACTTATTATTACTATTTCCATCATTAAATTATCCATCTCCTGTATTTCTTGTATTAGTCAAATTGGAATTTCTATCACTTTTTAGAAGTGAAGGGCTGAATGTTTTTGCAGTTTCATCCTAGAGCAAATCTTCATCCTCCAAACTTTCAATAATGATTTTTGAACCACTATAAATCTTTCTCTCTTCCTCATTAGTTGTGTGATGTCTAATAGTGCTTGGAGAAAGGAAGTTCTAAGAATTATCATTCGGGGATCGAGGATCCATTGTATAGGCTGATTCATCATCCATATCATCTAAAATCAAAAGCGATTCCTCATTTGAATAGTTTTAATCCATGTCTGAGTGATTCTTATTGAAAGGCGGGAATAAGTTTGTGCTCTCATTTGTTTTTACTAATTCCATAATCAAACTAATTTCTGGCCCTTATACTCTCCTAATATGAGGACAGTAAGCCTTATTTTGATAATTTTGAAAGTCTTATAAAAGCTTTTGATACTACTCTTGATGCTCTAGGAAATCATATTAAAGCTATTCAAGATCAGGAGCATTCTTTTTAGCAGTAAATTAGATTTTGAAGAGCTAGGAGAGGCATTAATGAGTTAAGGCTTGGCCAACAATATGATCAACTTTTTAAAAGTTCTCTAAAATTTTAGTAAATTTTCCCCATAGTCTGCAAGCTTGTCTGTTTTATTAGGCAGTTATTGTTTTTAGATCATCTAGTTGCATCTTAGCAATGTAATTAAGAGCAAATCTTGTTAACGCTACTCCATGAGTATTGTCAAGATCCCTGTATAATTTCTTAGACTTATCAAATGCAAATTAAGCCTTTTTGGCCTCATCGCATCTAAAGTAGACCAGACCAGCTACTTTGTAAATGTTCGCCTTGAACAATCCATTCCCATCTACAAACATAGCTTAATTTTCAATAAATTGCTTTGCAATATCTATCTCATCAAATAGATATAGATTCAAGCAATAGGTTATGACTAGTCTTTCAATGTAATGAAGACTTTCCTCCTGAGTATCCGTATTCGAATTAGAATTATTCAAGAATCTAGAGGGGGTTGATTCTTAGAAAGATCGCCATAAACCTTATTTTCTATGATACCTCTTTTTATTACTACTTAGAATATTTTAAAGCTAACAATCTTTCATCAGCTAGATAAGGGACATGAAATGATGATCGTAATCAGGCTTTGAAAATTGAATAAATGCATCTTTCACTACATTATCAATAAGACAAAGTTCCTCTGCTTCTCTTGGATTAATTTCACTTAACTAAATGCTGATCTCATCCTCTATTTTTGACATAGTTCTGCTATCTTTATCAGGTGAATTATGGAGATTTTAGAATGCTTCACACTTGGATAGACTTCTTCTCTTAAGAGTAGGCTGATCAATCATTCTCATTATTAATGCTTGAACATTACATTCGTGCTTCAACATCTGCACTCTTAAGAGGTAGTCTCTCTATGCTCTTTTATCATAATGTTTTCTGCTTTTGTGATTGATTTCAAATATTTTTTTCAATAACTTATCGTAGAAGTAACTCAGCTCATTGGAAAAGTAAATTCTATCATTCTTGCTTATCTTAGATGAGGCGTAAGTTTAGATAAAAGGGGAAAGAGATATCTTTAGCCTTCCAGTGTTTGGGTTCTATAAAACCTCGATTATTCCATAGTCTTTTAGAGTATTCAAGTGAATCGTGTAGTCTGATCCCCATATCTTCTGTAGCTCTTTATCTTTAATTCCACCAGGTAGTTATCCTATCAAGAAAAAGAATTAAACAGTTTTTGGGTCTTCATTATCAATGTGATTAATTATGATTTCGACAAGGATTCGAAGTCCTAGTAACGAATTATTTTTAATTCCATCTGAAGAGACAACTTGCTTTACTTCTCTACTCACCGATAAATTGTATATTTACTTCAAAGTTAGCTTTTAATTCAGTTTAGCTAAAATTAATGCTGAAGATGGAATCCCACATATTATCTTAAATAGTTGGTGTTCTCCTAGCATTTTAACTATCTATTCTTAGCTTAGATTTTCAATATTTTCTTATGAAGTATAAGATAGTAGTTCCTAAATCTCTTCAATAGGTACAGTTTTGGCTTTTGAAAGATAGAGTTTAATAAAGTTAGAAGTGCTTATCTCATTAATGACTTAAACTTTTTCTTTGATTTCTTAAATATCTCCAAGAGTGCTTCTGCTAGTCAGCACTATCTTGACATAGCTCGATGCGTTAAGTAATTCGCTTAAAAATGATCTATATTTTGACTTATCATGATACATTATTTCCTCAGTATTATCAAATACTATTAGCAGTTCTTGTTCTAGAATCATCAAACTTTCCATTATCTTTGTGAAGATTTAGACACTATTCATTTCTAGATAACTATTATCGGTTTAACTTTTATCCTTCAATTCTTATTTCAAGAAGGCAGATTAAAACTTTCTTAGAATGAGTCCTTGATTTTGATAACCTTTGAGAGACAGATAGAGAATCCCAGCCTAAAATGTATTTCTCTCCATTAGATACTGGCATGTGGATTTAAGAAGGGAAGATTTACCTACTCCAGGAAGTCCTAAAATAGTTACCAATCTATTATTAATTATTTCTGAAACAGTTTCATGCATATCTCTCTACCTTGCTTTTAAAGATTCATTAACTGGCTTTAAATTATTAAATCTAACTTATATCTCCTGATGATCTAATTTCCCTTTTTTAAGTGGGCCAAATATCTTGCATTGATGACTCCCAGTTTTAATTTAAGAGTTTTCATAGAATTAGAGAGATGAGTTTCTGCCATTATTGTCATTTAAATCAAGGTTTTCATTTTCTTATCTGACTAATATGTTAAACTTTAGTGATTCTGATAAACCATATATAACCTCTATCTTTTTCTGAGCTAACTTAAAGGATTCGCAGATATTCATACTTTAGTTGAAAACTAAGTTATAAAATAACTTCAAAAATGCAATCAGAGCACTTTCACTTATCTTTTCACCCTGTCTAATGCAAATAGCATGTTTCGCTCCTGCATTGAGGAATATATTGGCTGCAATCTCTGATTAATTTGAAGCTACAAAAACAAACTCAAGATTAGCATTCGAGGACTTAATCAAGGCTTGGATAGTTTTCTCACTTACTAACTCACCTAATCCATCGTCAGTTTCAAAGAGTAGATAATCCTCTTCATTGATAATTTTGCTGCCAGGAGACCCTACAAAGCTAGAATAGCTATTATCAACGCCATATCCAGAGAAGTGAAGAGAAATTGGCTTTTAACTTAAAATTGCAGCAAAGTTAATCAAAGTGCACTATCTGAATTTAGCTTTTATCTCTCTATTTGTCTTGGAAAGCGTGCTTTTAATTTCATTGAATTCTTTGTTAAAATCCATTATCTGTTCCATTTCAAATTTAATCTTAAACCTTGTTGAGGCCAAAACTAAGGGTTATGCAAACATGTAAGCGAAATGAGTTTGCTGCTACAGCTTATTGGCAAGTTATGTACTAAGCAGTCTTTAATTCATTTTTTCTAATTGCTTCTTTGCCTCTCTAAGTTACTCAATTAAACTAAGATTTTCTTTATGCATTTTAGTGATTTGGGAAAATACCTCTAAATGATTTGTATCTTTCTGGTTAGGATCATCTTTGGAGGAAAGAGGTTGCATTTATTCTTCATCTTCATCTTCCAATAAGAATTCTTAAAGAATACTAGATCCCTCATTTTTTTGCTTTTTATCTTTGGACTTAGACTCCTTTATTGAATCGTTTTATAGAGGTGGGCTCATACTTAAATAGCTCTTAGGACTTTATTAGCCCATCAAATTGCTGGAATTCATAAGCTGGAGATGCTGGCGCTTTAGATTTTCCCATTCCTCTTCAGTTATCGAATTCTCTTCTTCATTTTGATCTTCATAATAAGTATCTTTGACTATTTAAATGTGATTCTATTTTTATTGAATTTGCTCTGCTACATTATTCATACTTATCATCTAAGAGCTTTCATTCTCTTGGGTCATGTTATTATCCTAATGATCAGTTTAGAGAATAGTTATTTTTGGTTAGGTATCAGAATAAACTACTATCAACTCTTAATCATCTGACTGATTTTATTCTACCTCCAATAAGATTTGTTAATCTTGAAGTTAGTCAGATAGCATGTTTAAAGTTTCAATCTGGTGAGTATCATCATTATTAGTGTGATTATTTGAATTACCATTATTGTTTTATGTAATTCTTGCAATATTTTCCATTGTTTCATTTGTCCGAGTCAATTAAGCCTTGACTTCCTCATTAGTGTCACTTTCAGGATCCTCTGATAATGTTACATCAAGTTGATAGACCGAATTCTTGTACACAAATTTCTTTTCATACTAAAAGTGTGAAATTTAGGAGTATTACAAGGAAGACTCCGAATAGTTCAAAGAGCTGCTCCATATTGTATATTTTGATGGGATCCTTGTACTAATACTCCTCAACGTTAAGGACCATACTATTTTTGTGTTGTGATTTCTCAAAAAATGATGCTTAGTTGCTTTTATTAGAATCTTCTTCGTAGTTTTCAGGGTGCTTACCACCATTTTCAGCTAAATATGTCATGTAAATGATGTTTTTTACATTTCGAGCAGTCAGAAAAGTCTCCAGACACATCTAAGATTGTATCATCTAATCTCAAGGGTAATAAAGTCTAACCTCCTTTTCGAACCGTTAATGAATCTTATTCTGGAAGAATGATGGTGAGTCTAGGCTCTTCGATATCATCATTATCTCCTTTAAAGTGACCAGGTTGAAAAGCTCTATAGGAGGCAGGTCTCATTAAAAAGTAATTAAAGTTTAATAACAATTTTCACCGAAGTTTAATAAATAAATCTGCTTTTTTATTTTTAATTCATTTTAATTGAATAATTGGTTACTCGGGGTTTTGGGGTTTTGGGGTTTTGGGGTTTTGGGG